TTGTAGGACTGGCACAGAAGTTTGTTGCACCCTATTAGTTTTTGTTCCTAATATATTACAAATGCTGAAGATGAGCATCACCTCTCTGTAGCCCCACTGATCAAACTGCTCGTTTTCAAGTCTCTGCAACAAAACAGGTGAAGTGCATTGCCCATCCTAGCCTTCAAACAAGCACCGAACCTTGCCAACCTCATCACCAGAAGCAAACTTCCTTAAGCCCAGAACACACCAAAAGGACCCAGACTGTGTCAGGACAAGAAATGCAAAACCTGCCAACACATCTCCACCACCCCCACAATTACTACACCCCACAACAGAGCCATCAGCATCCCAGGATCTTACAGCTTCACCTCCAGAAATGTAATATACCTCATCCGATGCACCAAATGCCCTGATGGAAAATATGTAGGAGACACCAAACAACAACTGCGCACCAGAATGAATGCACACTGGAAATCTATCAAAGACAGAAATACCCAATTACCGGTGGGCCACACTCTCTCCAATCTCTCAATCCTGATCCTCAAGGGGAACTTACACAACACTTCCCAGAGACGTGCCTACGAGCTCCATTTCATCAACCTCCTGGATACTAGAGATCATGGACTAAACATAGACACTGGATTTTTGATACATTATAATCGGCCTGGCAACTGACTCCCCAGCCCAGCCCCTGGCTTCTTTACTATTCATTCCATCCAGGAAGAGCACACACCAACTGCTGAAACTTCCTTAGCCTGATGAAGGGTTTTTGAACCCGAAAGCTTGCTTAATAAATATTCTCCAACTATTTGGGTTGGTCTAATAAAAGATACCAAATTCACCCAAGGAACCTTGTCTGCCTATGTCCTTGGACCAACACGGCTACAACCTAAACCCTTGCTCAGAATACAGCATTCATCAGTTGTGCATTTGCCATATTACTTTTTATATGCTCTCCCTAACAGCAAATTAAAGTAAGGCCCTATATTATCCTATTTTTCATCTTAGAAGCTTATGTATAGATGTAAATGGTAAGTGTGCTGTGCACAGTTGTGCACTAAGCCATGTGATCCTTGAGATATGGGTAAATGTTTCCAGATATTAAGCAGGCAGTAAACCAATTTTACTAAACAATTTACAAGAATTTGCATCAAAATAAAACATTCTAGCCCTTCACCTACTCAGTCCTGTTGCACTGTGGTACTGACTATTTTCTGAGCTTTGTTAGGAATCTTGTGGCAGTAAATACATATATCTCAAAACTGTTAGTATGTTAAGTGCAATGTTGTATTTAATATTGAACAAAAGAGCTTTGTAAACAGCTTTGAGGTCTATTGATTAAAAACTCAATAATTAGATGTAATTTTTTATTCTAAATTGAAAGAGGAAGTCATAATCTTCAACAATTTTTGACTGGTCCTTTGAGACCACTGTTTGAGTCATATTTTTAATGTAGGGTTAATAGTTATGTTGCAGTCTAGTGCTGCTCCGTATAATTAATGCTGTGAACAATTTTGCTAACAGAAAAGGAGTTTACAAAGAAAACAAAGAACTGTTTAAAAACAAGAATCATTTTTAGACAAAAAACCTGCATGAGTGTTTTTAAAATTGATAATGAAGGATGTTATTTATTACCTCGTATAAGAATTATGAAAGCACTGGAAGCACTGGAAGAAAGAGTTGGGCGGGGTTGTTCATTCGTTTGTTTTTTAAATAACCTTTCATGCCACCTTTGATATTCTATAAGCCTGCTGTGTTTTAATGGCATATATCTATTATTTAGTCTTTTTGGCAGGTTTTATTACCACTTCTTATTAACTAATATAATTGCTACTGTTGGGAATACCTCTTTATCATTGATGCTATCATTGCATATAGTTGCCAGAAGCTTTGCATTTGTGACATTATAAAATATATTTCTAACTATATACTTTATGTATGCAGGTTTGTACACTAGTCCCAGTATCATTTATTGGTGATGGTTTAATAAATGTGTACATCTCAAATAGCAACATAGAGAAAACTGGATTCTAAGCATTTTGCTCCAATGTAACTCCATAGCAGCTCTGTTAAAAGTGTCAGATTGTGATCTCAGTATTTTGTATCATTACCAAAATGTGAATTAATTAGATGATAAATGGAGTGTTTATCCTTAAATGTAATAACTGCACCTCAGAAAAAACTATAAAGCCACAGGCGAATGAATGGTTATTACTAACTGTACAGCAGGTATCCTCAAGTTGGAGCGATGAATTATCTAATGATTAGCATAGTTATGTCTTGAATCGTTATTAATGTCCTTTTATGGCAGGAAAAACTGAAATAGTTCTGAACAGCACACACAGAACTAGAAATGTATGATATGCTGTCAGTTGGCTGACAGCGGTTGATCCAGGCAAGCTTGTTGTGGTCATATGGATGACTGCTGAAGGCAATAATGAGTCAAAATAACAGAGTTATATACAGTACCTAAGCCTACATCATAGCTTCCTTCTTACTAAGACAATTCCATTCTAGTATAGTGTACTATAGTTTGAGTTACAGTGGGCGCATCTATACAAGATGCCTAACTGTGCAGTGGCCTAGTTTACTGCGCACTAAGTGCATGCATCTACACATGTGCGCACTTACTGCACAGTAAAAAACCCTTAATCACAAGAAAATTTGATACCTGCAGGTAGTAAATTTACATGGGATTAGTTACTGCACAGTTATACACATGCAGGTGTGACCCTGGTTTGATTCTGGGTTAGCTCTACCACTAGGTAGCTGGCCTGAGGCTAGCCCCAGGGCTCTGGTCTGGGAGCCTCTCCTGCCCCAGGGCTAGGCTGCCTCTATGGCCTGCAGGCATTTTGAGCCCTGGGGCACACATGCAGGGAGCCAGAGAGCACTCCAGGATCTGTGTGCCCCTGGGCAGGATGCAGCCTAGCTGTGCCAGCCTCCATGCACCCCAATGCTGCTGTCTGGAACCACACTAATGTGCGACTGCTGGAACTGCACCATCGAGGCCCACAGGGTGTTGTAGGGTGCTGGAGACTGTTGCAGCCTCTGGCCAGACCAGTCATCACCCAGGCCCAGCTGCAGGCAGCTTCTGGCCAGTAGGGCCAGCTCTGCCTGCCCACAATGCACCCCCAGCAGCCTGCCCAGAGACTGCAGGTGCTGCAGGGCATTGCCACTGCCAGCAGCTGCCAGTTCCATGCCCTGTCCCTGTGCTGGGCACTGCAGAAAGCTGCCCAGGCCTGGCAGCATACAAACAGCTACATGGAGGCCCAGAGAGCTGGTGCAGGATCCCTGATGGTGTCCTCCTTACCCAGGCCCACGTCCATGCCCATGCCTGTGCCCTCCACCCAGGGCAGCAACTGGTCCAAGAAAGAGACTGGTGACCTCATAATGCTGTGGGGTGAGGCAGAGGTGCACTGTCAGTTCAAGCAGGGCAGGTGCCACAATGTCCACATCTATGAGGCACTGTCAGGCTGGATGCAGGAGCATGGGCACAACAGGTCAGAGCAGCAGTGCCGGCACAGTGGGTCATTGTGACCAACCACAATCATTGGTCTGGCTGTGCCCACATGTCTATGTCCTTTTTGCGGAAACTGGACACCGTCCTTGTGCCCTGGGACCCAGGCTGTAGCCATGCTGAACAGCAGCACGGGCAGCCTTCTTGAGCCCCCACCCCAGCTTGGCAAAAGGCCCTTCAGCTGTCCAGTGACCCATCCTGCCAAGCTCCCTAGCTGCAGTCTTCACTAGCAGCTCAGGTAGCCTGCCTGCCTTGGCAGCTCTACAGCCCCAAGGCCAGCCACAAGGCGCAACCAGGCATGACACTGCCAGCTGCAGACAGTGCCTGCTTCTCTCCAGAAGCAGCCCCTGGCCAGGCATCTGCACACCATGCCCCACCATCTGAGGACACCAGCTATGCCAGCCTCAGCCATGTGGTAAGGCCTGCATCTGTATCCCCACCAGGGCAGCTATGTGGCCATGGCAGTGGCTGTGGGATAGCATGCTGTGGCCATGCAGGCAGTCGCTGCGTGTGGGGGAGCTGGGTGGGTCCAGGTGGTGGTTGTCTCTACCAGGGGCAGAGGATGGAACAGCCATAGCACAGGGAGGCAGAGTAGGCAAAGAGAGAGCTGCTATGTGTTGCCCCTGTTCTGGGCACGCTGTTCCTGGCCAGGGAAGTGCCTGGCCAGAAAGCAGCAAGCAGGCTGCTTTTTGAAGATGGTTGTTGGCAGCTGCAGCTGAAGCCTGGAGCTCCCCCCGGTAGCAGCAGAGGCCTATTGCAGGATTGCAGGAATTTTGGTGCTGAGGGCAGCAAATCTGCTGCCTAAACACTGTATGTGTAGACGTTTGCCAGGGAGCACTTAATTAGCCAAAGTTTACTCCCGCATAAACTGAGCCTGGATCAAATGCACATATAGACATTCCCAGTATACTTCAGTAGGAGGAGGTAATTAGCCATATTAACATAAAGTCAGGCAGAAGGCAGAGCAGGGCAGCACCTTAATGAATTACATAAAAGCTCAATGCAATTATCCACAATTAGCTTTTATGTGCAAGTAAGTACCACCATTTTCCAAATAGGGTCTTAGACCATAAAAAACTGTTGACAGAAACATTCCATTATGAAACTTAGCTCCTATGTTTTGAAGATGGAATTGTTTCTTTTTACTCCTGGTTAAAACAGCTTGCTACTTAATTTTTAAGATTTTAAAACTATACTTCAATTTCATTACAAGTGAAGGCTGTAGAGTTTCACCATGAGGAGGAAGACGACCAGGGACTGAACCATCTTTCTGAAAATAGTGCCCTAGAAAATACAATTATATTGAGTTTGTATTATGCATCTAGTTGTTTAGTCTCTTTTTCAATAATTTTTAGTTTTTTGGAAGAACTGAAAAAAGCAAACAAGTGTGGAACAGTGCAGATAAGCTGAGCAAATGTATACAGAGACTCAGTGCTGCAGTGACAGATTTCTCCCAAAAAATCTTTCAGAAAATGAAGTTTGCCTTTCTTGTATTTTTCAGCCATATCAATAAGTGACCCATCTTTCAGAAGTAATGAATCATCATGGATGTCATTTGTTTCCTTTTCTATCCGACACAAGACTCATATCCAAATACAATTTCAACCTCTTTCTGCAGATGGTATCCTTTTTTATACTGCACAGCACCTGAATACTCAAACAGGTAAGAACATTCAAAACTCAGCTCACAAACAACAGGCTTGTTTCATACATGTAGGTGCTTTCTTTAAAAAAGAAAATAAATGCAAATAGGACAAAGGTTCAGTCTCAAGTATTCAGCATCATCTGTTTGATTACCTGTGGCTTTCTGAGCTGCTCATTCTAGTTAATAAAATTGGTACATGTAACAAGTTTTGGCAGAATCCCAAGCCAATTTATCATTTTCTATAAAAGTATAACTATGAGGGAGCTGCTTAAAGAACACTAGCAAACAGACACATATTGGAGGATTTACATTTGTACTTTGGAGAAAGATTCCCAGCTGGTGTACACTTGCATAGGTCCATTGACTTCAAGTCCATTGATTTCACTTTACATGATGTGATGATTTGCCCCGTTATTTCTAAACTGATGCAAGTGAAGACACACTGAGCTGAAATTAAGAAAAAGCCAGTGGAACACACAAGATACAATTAAATTTATCAGGTATTCAGTACTTATAGATACTTCAATGGTAACAAGTTTGTTGTAGCTAAAAGAATATTTACCTCAGTAAAACGTGAATCCTATACCTGGCAAGCAGGCAACATTATAAAAATGAGAACTAGCCAAATATAAATAGTTCACACGTCATAAAAAATATTTTAGCCATGGTAGTTACAATCACATTTTTAAAATGACATGGCATGAAAACTTCATTTGCTAAGCAGCATGCAGAAATTTTAAAACCTGATCTTTTAATGGTTTATAGAGATTTAATTTATTTGGCTATGTTATCAGTCCACTTTTCTAGTGCCTCATATGTTTTCTGGATAGAAACATGCTGTATCATTCACAGGTGACCATTAATAAAAAAAAACTGCTAGTGAAGTTTCCCAGCTGGGTGTCAAGCAGAAATGGGGTTTATATGCTAAAAAAAACAAGCTTTCTTTTTTTTATTCAAAAGTTTTTATTCAAAACCTAAAGCATTTTAGGAATTTTCAATAATCATTTTCAGCCATATGCACAAAACTTACCTCTTTTTTATTCCCTGCACCAATGTCTACTGGGCTGCCATTAATAAAGACCTAAGACAAAACTAGCAACTCTTGCTTGGCTTGTTTCTCTGTTCCTGTGTTGTACTAGAACAACTTCAGAGAAAGTAGGTGGCACACAGCTACAGTTCTTTGCTAATTATTCTTTGTTTCCCAGTAACTTTTGTAAGTTTATCACTAAGACATTCTAAGTCAGAGCTGTCCAACTTGTGGCCCACAAACTGCATGTAGTCTGTGGGGTTAAATTGCAGCCTATGGACTCCTGCCTCAGTGCTACTCCTCACAATGTTCTGGTTGCTGCTACTGGCCCATAGACTCCATAACTCAGAGGCTGCAAAGAGGGAGCAATGGCGGCATGCAGCCTAAAGGGTATGCAGCCCCCAGAAGTTCAGAAATTAGACAGCCCTGTTCTAAGTAAATAATTGAACAAACTCATTTAATATGTTATGAACAGTAAAGAAGAATCTAGTCCCAAAGAAAGAAAAAAGTCAAGGGCCACATTAGCAAATGATTTACTTAGAAATTAAGCATCTCTTTGTAAGGATAGAGAGGGTACCAAGAAATTCTATAGCTGTTTTAATTTAGGCTGTGACTGTCTATTATGCATATGCCCTAGTTCTCTTGCCATTAATAAGACTGTTTAATTTATACAGGAGGGAACCACCATCCAGAGCTGGATCAGTTTCTTTTCAAATGTTTCTCCCCAGTAACAAAAGCTATTGGCATTAGGGTAACTGAATTGTTTTACAACTGCCATCCCACCCATTCTTACTGCACTGAACTTCTGAAGGATTTAGAAAATGCTAATTTTGTAGGCTCTTTACATTTGCCTTCATATAATCCAGTCAAATCCAGACAGAATTAGACTGATGAAAGGCTCAGAAGTATTCTTAGCAGCCAACAGACGTGAAAGGGTTTTCTGTTGTGGATTAGTTTACAAAGTACTTTATACAAAGCCTTTTCTTTATACCTAGTTATGTAAGATTTAATAAATCTATTTATTGTACAAAGCACAAGGTTTTCTTCTAAATTTCTTGTCTGATGGAAAATAATTGGAAGACTTCCATTTTCTATTCTCTTCTTGAAAATTAATTAGGTTTGACTAAACAACTAATTTAGGGATGACAGTGATTCAGATCTTGCTTCACTAACACAGTCATAGAGGGGCTTGTTACTAGCTGCAAAAGCTTCATAGGGACTTGCAAATTGCCTCATATGAAAAATCCACAGCAGGGGGAAAACTAACCATGAGGCTGTCCTTGCAACATTTTCTTGACATTTTGTTTTTTATCACAGAGTGATCACTGACCCTTTCCCAGAAGAGGTTGGGTTGGGGTAGGTTACCTAACATGCAGACTTCAGAATTGGTCAGTAGAAAGTAATGCTTGTCTCTATTCTAAATTCATGATCTAAGTTCCCTTTTCTCAGACAGTGTCACTGCTCCATGATCAACCATTTTCTGTGATGCATAGATAGCCCCCTCCCGCTCTGCAGGTTCTGGAGATGATTCAATGCTATAACATGGCCACAGTGCTCAGCCATGGCCTGTTGTACAGCTTGCCAAAATACTTATTCCAAATCTGTGTAAAAACCACCAGTGTATGATTAGCAATAAACTGTGAAGCCAGTGGGCTCTTACCCATTGGCTACTGACTTCCTACCAGAAAGGATAGAATTTAATACAAAAGGAAGTAAGGAATAAGGAATTTTTCATTCTATAGCCCGATGTCTTCTACGAGTATGTGATGCATATGTAGCAACAAGTAGTAAATAATCAAGCAGGAGTGGATAAAGAAACATTAAAATAGAGAACTCTACTTCTTGGAAAGTATATTACAGAATAGAAAATTAGTTTTGGACCATCACATTCTGAATCTTCCTATTTGAATAAGATTTGTGCAGAAAATAAAATTCCCATGCTATACTGTTTGATAAAGGTGTTCTTAGAAGACCATATTGCTTCCCTACAGATTTCCTCAGCTGAAGTAGCTGTGACTAAGACTACTAAAGACCCTACAGAAAGGGTTTTGAAATCTGTGAGAATAGGAATAGGTGTTCCCCCTGATGTTTTCTATACTTCAGCAATGTATAATGCAATCCATATGGGCAGGGACAGGTTCAATTTTTTTTAAAGACACAAATCAGGAGCTTGTTTTTTCTTGTTGATTCATCACACTTGAGGTCAGGTTTCTTTTTTTTTGGGGGGGGGGGGGGGGAGTGTTGCTCTACATACACCTAGATTACGCTAGTGTTTTGCTGAATGTTGGGTTTTGGAATTATTGAGAAGATTGCTTCCTAAGGAACATGAAAAGTGCCATTCATCCTGGCTATCAAGACAAATATTCTGATTGATAGAATGGCATGATCAGCATCAATGGATCTTTATAACAGAACAGATCAGCATAACAGAATAAAAATCGTTAGCACCAGTGGTAGATTCCCACTTAGGAAGAATTGGTATGATTTGGTCCATGCTACGAGTATAAATGATCCAACACATCTTGAAATTGAATCTTTTCAGCTAAAGCTTGGGGAAACACTGCATAAGATGATGATCATGGCTGAAACTTACATACTCTTGCCTAGACATACACACTGATATGATCTATACTAGCCAAAATGATAAAGTGACTCGTCTGCTGGAATGTTCAGACTCTGATCCCTGGGTCCATTTGGACTCAAACTTATGGAAAACAGTACTACTAAATTATGAATTGGTTAGGTTTGGAATTATTGCTGCATTATCAGAAACTCAGCTCTCAGATACGGCTTCTATCCAAGAGAATGATTACACCATATTCTGGCATGGGAAACTAGCAGGAGAAAGGAGGGAGCAGGGAATAGGCTTTGCTATTAGAAACAGTTTACTATCTTCCTGTGAAATCCTTGCTGTATCTATTTGACTCATGATGCTCAAAGTGCATACACAGAACATCACCATCGCATTTTTAGTGTCTATTCACCTACCCTTCAAGCTAGTGACAAAGACAAGAACGTTTTCTACCAACAGCTTGAAGAAGAGAGTGAGAAAACTTACAGAAATAAGACCATTATAATACTTGGACACTTTAATGCAATAGTTTTATGAACTGTCGTGGTATTCTGGACAAACACAGAATTGGCAATATGAATGAAAATGGCCAGTGAGTATTAGAACTTTGTGCAAGCTAAAATCTGTGCGTTATTACCACCTGCTTCACTGAGAAAATGACAAGAAAGACATCGTGGAAACATTCAAGTTCATGGCACAGGCACCAATTAGATCTAATACTGTTCAAATGCTGACTGTGACACTGACCATGCCCTAGTCTCCTGCAAAGTCAGAATCAATTTTTAAAAGATCCACTGTAGCAAAACTACCAGTCACTGTAGATAGACATCAGCCAAACTCATCATTGGCAATCCCTCACAGTTGAGGGTGATTGACTTCCCTTATCTGTGGGTCTGAAGATAGCTAATAAGGCCAGTCCAGGATCAACAAGTTCTATTGCAACTTGGGCACATGTTTCCATGCAGAATGAGTGTCTCCAGATTCTTGATTTGGTCCACAACACTGTTACTGCCACTCCTGCTTTTCCATGTCCTATTGTCATCATGAAGTTTCAAAGTACTGAGATCCTTGCAGCAGATTCTTCCTCCATTTGAGGTGGTCTCCCACAAGTTGATGTCAATGTTGAACTTTTTCAAGTTGGCCTTGAGGATGTCCTTGAAGTGCTTTCTCTGTCCTCCTCTTGAGCATATGCCTTGACTGATCTGGGAGAATAAAACTTGTTTTGGGATTCTTCTGGACATCTGGATGATGTGGCCAACTCAGTGAAGTTGATGTTGGAAGATCATTGCCTCAATGCTAGTGGTGTTTGCATTTGAGAGGATGCCAACATTGGTGCATCTGTGTTCCCACTGAAGGATTTTCCACATGTGTTGTTGAGGGTACTAATCCAGTGACTTGAGGTGTCTCCTCTATGTTGTC